AGGCATTCGAGAGGTACCTTGCAGAAAACCGGGCAAACGGTGCCCCGTCCGATGTCATGGCCTTGAGATCTGACGACGGAGGAGAGTTTTTTTATGGAGAGTTCGGCAGGGTGTGCCGGAAGTACTGCATCAAACAGGAGTTCACCCCCGCGCACAGCCCAGAATACAACGGTGTAGCTGAGAGAGCACTGGGTCTGATCAAGGATGCAGCACTAGCCGCCCGTATCCAAGCGCCAACTCTTTACCCCGGAGCACCGAACTACCCATCCCTTTGGGCCGAGGCCATAGCTTGGTCATGCAACGCCCTGAACTGCACCTCCACCACATCCAACCCAGAGAAGAAGTCGCCGTACGAGATGTGGCACGGGCACCCTCCCCCGCCGGGGGCGACGTACCCGTTCCTCAAACCTGCCGTATACAAGGTCAAGCGCACACACAAGTCCGAGCCAAAAGCCCAAAAGTGTTTTTACCTCGGCCCGGGAATCAACACCAACCGTGATTGCGTGCGCATCCTCAACGAAAAACGCCGAGCGATCACAACTCGCAACTTCACCTGGCAATCCGTGCCCGCCGCCCCCGCCGCCCTGCCCCAGTCGCTGCCTCCCATCGCAGAGGAGGAAGAGGAATTCGCGACTGAGGAGGACGAGGTTGGGGAGGGCGCGTCGAACCAAGGTGGAGGGAGGGCGGAGAGAGAACCTGTGGATGGAGGACCAGGTTTCAACCTTGGCACGACGGCAGCCCCGGGGCCCGCGGGGCCGGCCGCGCCCCAAAGTCGGGCGCAGGCGACGCTGGCGATGGCGCCCCCTCGAGCAGGGAGAGCGCGAGCGTCGCCCCATCTACCACGTCGACCGGCACGGCCGATGTGGGCGGCGGCGAGGACGACCGCCGCAGCAGCAGCAGCCGCGGCAGCGGCGGCAGCGGCGGCAGCGGCGGCGACAGCAGTAGCCGCGGTAGCGGCGGCAGTGGCAGCGACAGCAGCAGCGGTGGCAGCAGCGTCGATGACGGCGGCAGCGACAGCAGCAGTGGCAGCGACAGCGAGACGGATCTCCCGGCGCTCTGTGGGCCAGAGGCCCGGCGGCTCGCCCGCTTCGACAAGCCGGCGGAACTCACCAGCCGCCGCACTAGGGAGAACCCTCGCCGAAATCCGAGGTACGAGTCGCCCCCGTCGCCGCCCACATCGGCCCCGTCGCCGACAAGTGCCGAAGCCCTGCTCGCCTCGGTGGCGAGCCTGCCCGACAGCAGCACGGAGGAGTTCACCCGCTGGATGCTCTCGGCAGTACTTCACGTGGCGGAGGGGCTAGAGGCGAGGGTGGTGCGAGAGTTGCTGTCCGAGCGCGCGCAGGAGGCCCACGCTGCGCGCCAAGAGGCGGAGGATTTCCTGCTGGGTACGGTGGACCTCATGCTCAACTCGCCAGACGCCTTCGAGACGGCTCTGGCGTCCCACGAGCTAAGTGAATCCCCCATAGGCAAGCGTCCGAGTGATGTAGAAGCCCCACCCATGACTGTAGCCGGCGTTGCCAAGTCTGTTTACCGAGAGGGGTGGGAACAGGCCATGAGGGAAGAGTTTGAAGGGCACTTGGGCACGGGGACGTTTTCATTCGTAGACGGTGCGCCAGAGGGGCGCAGGCCTGTGAGCTCAAAGTGGTGTTTTAGTTGGAAGACCAACAAGGAAGGGAAGATAGACACGTTCAAAGCGCGTCTGGTTGCTAGGGGGTTTTCGCAAATCCCGAACGTCGATTATTTCCATTCGTCTTCCCCTTGCCCCTCATCCGCATCCATTAAGCTGATGCTTGCGGTAGCGAACGAGAAGGGCATGAACCTCAATCACTGGGATGTGAAGCAGGCGTATACACACGCTACGCTAGACGAGGAGGTTTTTCTGAAGCTCCCCGCTGGGTGCGGGGACAAGTCGCATAAGATTGCTAAGGCTGAGCGTGCGATTTATGGTCTGAAGCAGAGCGGTAGGCAGTGGGGGTACCACGCTGCTGATACGCTAGTCGAGAACGGGTTCGAGCAATGCAAGGCGGACCCGTGTGTTTTCCGCAAGATGGTAGACGAAGTCGTGGTGATGATTATCGTGATTTATGTGGATGACATTTTGGTGGCTGGGTCTGACGAGGATTGCGAGGAGTTGCTTGCTTCTCTCAACAAGAAATTTCCCACCAAAAACCTTGGAGAGTGTCAATGGTTTGATGGGTGTGCCATCGAGAGAGATGTAGAGGCTGGGACTCTTAGAATCTCCCAAACCGCGTATATCGACAGCATGGTTGAACGCTTCGATGTGAAATCAACTTCCCGCATCCCCGCTACCCCTGGTGCCGATCTAGGGCCGAAGCGAGAGGATGAGGAAGGAGGGGAGTGGCCGGTGAGGGAGGCCATCGGCAGCATGATGTGGGTGTCGACTTTCTCGCGTCCAGACGTCTCGTTCGCCGTGCGTGCGGTAGCGCGCCACGCCCACGCCCCGGCGAAGCGGCACTGGGATGCCATACAGAAGATCCTCGGCTACCTGAAAGGGACGAGGGACCTCGGCATCACCTACCAACGGGGATCGGGGTTAGGGCTGGCCGTGTACGTAGACGCTAGCTACGCCGACACGGAGGATAGGCGTTCGGTGTCAGGGTTGGCGACGACGGTTGGAGGTACCGTAGTCAGCCATGGTAGCAAGACGCAGAGTATCGTGTCTTTGTCTTCAACGGAAGCCGAGTACATTGCTGCCGGGGAGGGTGTCAAGGAGGCGTTGTTTGTGCGTGCTGTGCTTTCGTTTGTCGCCCCAGAGACCAGTGGTAGCAGCATCAAGGTCCTTGAGGACAACCAGGGGGCCATAGCGTTGGTGCAGAACCCCCTCAGCTCAGGTCGCACGAAACACATCGACGTGAGGTATCATTTCATCCGAGGATTGTTTAGGTCGGGGGATATTTCGGTCAAGTTTGTTCCGACAACGGAGCAACACGCGGACCTCCTTACCAAGGCCCTTAGCAGGGTCAGTCTGCAGTACCACCGGCGCAAGCTGATGAATTTGCCGGAGTAGATGTAGCAGTTTTTAGCACTTGCCTTGGATTTTTTGGTAAGTGCGGCCGTTGTAAACCGCTATCACAGCAGTGATAGCGACGGTTTTTTTGTGGTGGAAGGGTGTTTCCTTGAGGGGTTTTGCCCGGAC